AAGAAGAATTAGGATAATGGGAGGTAGGGTCTGGGAAAGTCAGAAGCCACAGAGGGGCTTACAGAGCTGCCTGCACTGAACAGCCAGAGCAAGAGGATCTGTGGACCAGGTGAAAAGTAAAGAGCTAAGGGCCTGGATAACAGTGTAACGACTTACTTATGACATATCCACGTGTTATAAAAAATAATCAGTCTAGAGCTCTTACTAGCTAAACTGGTATGTTCATACAGAGAAGAGCAGAAAAGAACTCCAGGAAGAATTTTAACTTCATTTGTGCACTGCATGACAGATTGGCACAGACACGGAGAAGGTAGAGAAGGAAGGATTACTCATTCTTTCTCTTAAGACAAGAATTAGGCATATGAAATTAAGTAATCAGTTAGAAGTTTTAAAGCAAATGTATTTTTTCCCAAGTAATACATAAATAACCTGTAGAGTCTCATTGCTGCAAGATGTTGGGAAGACCAAAAGCACTAATGGATTAAAAAAATCTAGTAAAGAATTGCATGGCATAAAAGTCCACTGGAGCTTATTAGACATAAAGATATATATTCCACTTCTAATTTTGTGTTTCTAACCTTGCAGGTTACCAGAAATAGCTATATAGTCTGCCTAGGGACGAGTCCTGCTTTATGCTTGTCCTGTTACTCCATTTCATGATGCTTTCTTGCCTGGTTGTTGCCAGAAACAGAATGTTGGTCTAAGCATGTCTTTGATCTCCCCCAGTCCAGACAGACTTTTGCTCTTATATCAGTGAAAAGAGAAATGATAGGGCTTTAGACACTATGAGGACAGAAAACAAAGATGGCATTTACGTTATGCTCCCAAGAAGAGGAGTATTACAGCATTTGACTCTCTACACAGGCTGCTTGAAAGAACAGGGAAATGCATACACTAAGTTCTTACAGAACCTAATGAACAACTTTAATTTTATTCCCAAATAACCCTGCAATCTAATGGATTAAGAGTTGATGGTAATTTACTTTTGTATTTGTTCCTGCTAAGTGACAGGGCAAGAATACGGGATTCAAAAAATAAAACAAAGGGAAGAAATCCTGAACCTTTCTGCTGATTCTAAGCATTTTGCTCTTTATCTGCGTGTATGTTTGCATTCTATCTCACATCAAATATCTGCGGCTATCACTTGAAGTAGTACCAAAACTGGCCACTTGAGGGCAATACCGCAACCCAATTGTCACAGTCTTCGGCTCTCAGCCAGACCTCCACCTCATATTAAAAGATGTCTTTCCTGGGTAGGTGAGGGTCCAGTTTTATTTGCATATATGTTAAGTATAAAAAATATTTCTCTTTACTCAAGTTTCCAAATGCTTAATACACAGCAAGAGAATTTCAGCGATAGTTACAGTGACTTATACCACAGCAAGCTGAAAAGCAAACGGCTTTCATAAATTATGTTTACTTCACTGCACAACTGGAAAATCACTTATGAGCATAGTTTCGGCTGAGGTTATCAAGGGTTATGCAAGAACACTACTCAAGGAATCCAAATCCAGGAGGCACCTGACTGCCTATTTTGGATGAGGGAAGGGAGGATGAGCCAGAGGAGGGCCGTGGGAAGCTGGAGCCTACCCAGGTGATGCAGGACGTGGCACCACTGCAGTTTACAAAAGTGCATCCCTTCATCAAGAACTGGGACCAGGTAGGAAAGGTTAATGGCAGAGTAAAGGAAGCACTTCACAGTGTGTTAAAGCTGGAGATAATTAATCATAGATGACTGTTTTGCACACCAGCTTCTATAAAACAGAAAATTATTCAGGGGTCAGCCTTCTGCTCAATACACATGCATAATGTCGATTAACACGAATGCAATTATTGCATACGTTGCAGAGACCCATCCCTTAATTGGTAACACATGCAAAACAGAAAGTTTCTATTTTATTATTAATTTTTCAACGCACAGATGGTCTAAATAAGAGGTCTCCAAATTTCCTCAAGGAAATAAGGCTATTACGCAAGTCTCATATCAAAACATTTGTGTGGCAGAAAGCCATTCTCTCCCCTGCATCTCCTGCATCTTCTCAATCAGCGCCCAAATTTAGAGTGGCACTTTTGCCACCCCTTTATGCACGAAGTCCTCATGCCAGCTCAGGATTTACCTTCTTTTGCTTTCTGAACCGAGATACCAAAATGCGTATAATCCAGAGAAAATTTGGCAGAAGGTGGGCAAAACACACTTGAACTCTTCCTGAACTGCTATTTGCTTACTCAAGGAGTCATTCTGAAGCCTTGCCACTATGATTAGGATAAGTAAACATGAACTGTAAAAATCATTTCCAATAGTTTACTAACAAAGAAGCAGTGGGGAATGCACTATTATTTAATTCATTAAACTCTTGTTTTTTCTTTACAGAGTTCCTCTTAATCATTTGGTATCATCTGGTACCCCCACCTCCAGTCTTTTTAAAAACCTCTCCTTCACATATACCACATTCTGGTTACGTCTAGCAACCATAAAGGGTTGTTGTACACAGAGGATCAAAACTTAACATACTGAGTTTGTGATGTTAATGTTGTAACCAAGTTAACAACAATTGTGGATGAATTTCTCATCGCTAATAGTTTAATTACACTGGTGTGAGAAAATTTGCCGACCAGGGGCCTATATACACCAAGAAGGTCTCTAAATTATTGTGCAACATTACTGAAAGCAGCACATCTATGATGGCAGTGCAGCAGATTAAAATTACTCTCGTGTTCATTTAAAAAAAAATTATTCAGTCAGCTGCTCTTGGGGAAAAAGACATCAAACGCTATCAAATTTTTCCAGACCAAAGTCTCCTCTATAGGTATGTTCAGTTCCCAGGGACACCAATGGCTATTCTGTCAATCAGTGGAAGAACAGGTCTTAGAGATCCTTTCTGTCTTTATTGACTATTGACAGGTTGGAACTTCCCAACAAGCAATTTTCCTTCCTACACTATAGAGTTGGCAGAAACTGAAAGCTTAGGAGCTTTCTGCACCAGGTTCCTTGGCTGCTACAAACATGCTTAGCTCCACCGGCTACTTCGGGAGAGGAGAGCACTCTGCTGTCATTGTACATCCCACTGGCAACAAGTGACGGCTCCATGAAGCTGATGAGAAACTTGATGTAATCTCCTCCCAAAGGATATCAACGGTTGAATTCAAACCTTCTCCCAAGTATTGTTTTCTACCTGATGATCTGCCTGATGCCTCTGCACCAAGCACAGAAGCCTTTTTATGATTTTCCCAGTAGTGCTTTCTGCCCACTCCATGAAATCCCAGTGTCTCACTTCTCCTGGAGACTCTCTGACTCCTCTCGGGTTCTTCACAGGGCACACTGTTTATGCTGAGAGACAGTCTTATACACTCCACTTCCCATCATTTTGTTAACTCGCATTTCAATCTATACATCACTACAAATGTGCTTTCTGTGGTGCCTATTTTTTGTTTACTTCTTGCCATTTTGACAAATCTGCCTAAAGCTGTGGAAGATATAGCATCACAGCAGCAGTAACCAGATTGGAACTACTGTAGATGTGCTGCTGCTTCTATCATTCATTTTTATTGCTTCTTCAGCTGCCAAAGTGCTCTGTAAATGGTGGCTGGTACCCCGTTGGGCAGAATTCCCTCAGTGGGAATTATTTTGCAGAGTCATATCATAATTACTAATGACTACTAGCCTTTAAAGTAGTCCCTACTTCAGCTGCAATAGTGATGCTGCTGCTGGACATTGTGCTATTTTAATAAACATAAAACAAAAATGAACCCCAAGGTTTGAAAGCGAGTGACCATTAGTCTCCCTAAATGTAAATAAGAGGAAAATACATGGTAAAATAATATACCTCCAGAGGTTTCTATAGCTTCTGAGGGGGGAAAGAAAGAGAAGTAGCTTCATCTCACCTAATTTTGGCAATCTAGAATTTGGCACGTTCTCTAAGAATGTCATAGCCCACGGAAGGAAGCAGACACTTTTAGCAGGAAACTCATCTCATTCCAAAACTAGTGTCTAAATTGGGTGGGATGATTTGTTCTCTAGAGGTGTCTGTTTCTCCAATAACTAGAATTAGATAATGAGCTTAGACTAGGCACTTAACTTTGAGAGTGCTAAAATTGTAGAACATACCAAATGGTTGGCATCATCAAGAGTCCTGACAGTAACACCACAACACTCAGACTGATCCAAAGCCAAGACCTGCTCCTACCCCAAGAGGGTTACATGGGCAAAGCACACCCAGCTTCAGATGGCTGCTGCAGGAGCTGAGCTATGTGACCTCAAGAAATCACTGCTACTTTGTGATCTTACTGCTTCAAAAGGAAAGGAGCAGTTGCAGAACTGTAGTTCCTTCACGGAGAGCTGCCGTGTTGCAAGCACAGTTCCTTGCTGAAAGAACAAAGGAATGGGAAGGCGTGTTTGGAAATCCATAGGACTACTGAGCAAACTAGACATGGAGAGACAGGGGTCTCTCCAGGCACTTGGAGATGTCTAGAGTTAATCCAATTAAGGTACATGTGAAACATCCTTTTTCATAAAACCAAGACCATGGGAGGCCCACCCTCTCCATGGTATACTTCCTTCCCCTTATTTAGAAGTGCCCTGACCCTCCTCCATTCTGTTTTACTGCACCTAAAAAAGAAATCTAAACAAACTATTTTAAATATTTACTTTCCTTTTCTACAACACTGTCAATATCCGGGCAGAAGACCTTACTGCATGACAGCACCCCACTGCTGTGCTTTAGAGAAAACTCCGACCTTGCAACTGCTGTCAAATGTCACCAATAAAAATGGGCTCTGACGGAAGCAAATCCCAGACCTCCACTGCACAGGGCAACTCTTCCCTGTTTCATGAAGCAAACCCCAGTCCTTCTGAGAAATGAAAGCAGTACTTTAAGAGAACATTCACTGTCAGCTGTGGACTGCAAATAAAGAAGGGGTAAAAGAGAAGATAGGTATCATCTGGTTTTCTGTCTCTGTACTTCGCCTGAAAGATGGAAAAATTAGCAAATGGAACATTTTACCTTTATGGAAAAGTGCTTCTTCTTGGGTGGATGCCAGACAGTGGTGGTTGAATGAATGAATGCCCGCAGAGGTGTTAAGGATGTCACAAGCACATACGCTTTGATGATGACAGAAAGGTCTTGAGCTTTAAAGATGTCCTTGTGGTCTGGTGAAACCGATACTTGATTCCTGGAAAGTAATAAAAATACATCGCATTAATGAAGTGCTTCTGCAAATGAGGAAAATGAGCTATAAGAGTGGAATAGTGAAATTAGCAGAAATAGGAAATTAGCCTTTTTTCCCCCTGAGTTAAGCAACACAGTAGATGAAAGTAAGCAGGCTGGAATAAAGCCTTACATCAAGGCTTTTTATTGCTTTCAGTTTATTTAAATCTTATTTTCCATACACAGAAAGTAACTATGTTAGGAGGGAGTTACGTTTGAGACCACATATGGATAAATGCATTGTGGGTATATTGTAATTGTTGCAAACCCAGGACACTGAGAGTGAAAGCAAAAACATTAAAGAAATCCAAGCAGCTTAAATAACAGAAGCGCATAGTCAAGGTACCCAGATTCAACACTGATTTGTAGTCAATTCAGGAAAAAAAAAACAAACAAACAATCCTATGGAAAGACTGCACTATTGTTAGCACTTTCTTCGGTGTAATAAAGGGACACAAACATGTGGTACTGCATGCTTTCCCTAATGAAAGCCATAAACTATAATCCCAAATATTATGAAAGACTATGACACCTAGGAATAACCCATAATAAATCAGCTAAACATAACAGAATTATGCAAGCTGACTTTGTCTATGAAGTGACATGGCTCTCTAGATACTGGCCTACAGCTCCCACAGTCCACACAAAAAGAATCAGCCATAAAAGCAGAATAGGAAAAAACAAACCCAAGGGAAAAAAAATCTGTTATTTCAAAGCTCATTACTTGGGGAAATCTGAGCTATACTTGGGCATATTCACAAATGTGGTTATTATTCTGCCCGTTAAAATTTCTGAGTATCAATTACCTCACAGCAAATGCAATGAGATGACTATACAAATTATGGGTCTCTAAGAGTGATTACTGGTAAAAGACATAGGGCTCTCCTCCCATTTCTGTGTAATCTTTGGCAATATGTGGCCTTTCCAGACTCCAATTTTGCTATCTCTTAAGGGAATCTAATAATATCAATCTTAAAGAGCCCTTTTTCTCCCCTCTGCAGAATGGTAGGTCCTTAGAGCATAACATTTGTGAGCTACTGTAACGAAGGAAGCAGCATGTAGACAGCCTATTCTCAAGTACTTCTTGGTTCTTCACTTAAGGCGGGGTCTCTGTGCAAAGGACTACGTATGTGTGCCTGCGGTAGGGGCAAGGCAGGGATGGGAGCAGGAAACAGCTCAGCCACCATGAGACCTAAACATTCAGTGGTCTCTCTGGGTCTGTATTTATCTGTCTAGGTGTTTCAATGCTCTCAACATAAAGACTTAGCTGTTCACACACAAAACATGGGCAAGCTTGGCTAGTACAGAAACAAGCATTATGGAAGTATAAGAGATGCGATACATCCCAGTGCTCCATCTGCCATGGTCTCCTCTGTTGCTACATTCTGACTCCCAACTGACCGCACACCGAAGCCCTCGCAGTTTCTGAGGGTGGGGTATCATTAGCTTACAGCTGGGCGCTCGTGCTCTGCTTCCACCAGTCCCGCAGATGGGCCCTCTGTGTCTTGTCAGTGCTCTCGCTGCCCTGGGACACCTTGCTTGACAGCTCATGCTGACTGGAACACTCTGGGGTGACAACCGGGAGCTGCAGGTCTGAAAAAGTACCAAGGGGATGAGAAAGAAAGTCAGCAGAGCATTGAAAGCAGTGGTCGACTCCTACTGTTAAAGATAAAAATGTGTAAAACACAGTAGGTAGAAAGGAGCTACTGGCATCAGCTGAAAATGTAAAATGACAAATGCTGAGACTATAATCCTCTTTGGATCTGCTAGCAGAGAGCTTCACGCCCACCAAGCACCCCCTTCCAGCTGCAAGCTCAAAGGCTTAGCCGCAACTCGCCCCTTACAGATGAGTGCATGAGTGCTGCATACAAAAAACATCCCCTTCCCCCTTCTTCTAAACAAAAATCCTTTATTTCTAAATACAGAATACCAGAACTTTGTTTCTCATGTAGTCCTAATTACAATTAATGGGGATAAGAAACTTATTTGACTGAGGACCAAGGGACTTGGCCACTGTAATCATACAGACAGCTCAGTAAATAACCACCTATCTTTGTTTCTAGGTTCACTCTCTAAGGCTACATTTTGTAGTTACTGAAATCGATGGGAGGCTTAGCTCTGCCACCGAAGGCAGTGGGAGCAGGACCAATGTACCAGAGTCCTCAAGATTACTGAGGCATGTAACTATTAATAGTAAGCAAAATATTGTGATGTGAGATCAGTCAATGGGTGGTATGCATTTTCTGCTTTTACTGTGCTGATAAAAAGGCACAGAGCCCTTACGTTCTGTCATTATTTCATGTAGGGTGGTTTTCATTAACTCTAACACACCTTACGTTTCAAGTTCTTAAGTAATAGTCAGGGAAAAGTCAAGATGTTTACATTATTCCCAAACCTTATTACTTACCTATTTAATGCCATACTGCATCATGCTAATGTTATGAATTTATTTGCATAGCTTCTCTTTTAAAGCATGCACTCTTGACTTTGGTACATGAAATGAAATAAAAAACTGAACATGTGCTGTGAGCAGCCATTCAGGGAAAAGAACTATTCATTTCCATACAGATCCTGTTAAAATGGCATTGGCATTGTCTATGTTTATAAGCTGTTCATCAGATCAGCTCTGTTCAGCCTTCCAAGCTCAACTGGGATCTAAAATTAATCTGGTCCTCTGCCTTACATGCACTATTTAGCAGAATTAAAGGCTTTACTAATCAAAACCAGGCACTTACTAATATAGCACCTCATGTTCAGACTATACTCTCATTGGCATCTTTGTGTTGCGTTATGCATTAGAACTGATTTGGACTTTGTAAGCGACTACCTGTTTGTTGATGGTACAGAGACAAAACAGGCTACTGTCTGCCTACATGGCTGTGCAGCGATAACAGGAATAAGCCAGTAAACTCCCATTAAATCATTTATTTAGCAGACTTGCCTCTGAATATGCACAGGGAGCAGATCTGCTAAATCAAGCGCTAGTTTTTCCATACCTGCCTCATAAAGACACAATGGCACTTCACTATGGCAGTTTCCACCCTGTGAAGAGACAACAGCATCTCACCATGGCAATTTGCAACAGCCCCACAGCAACTACTCCTATGCATTGTTTTAGGTACCTAACTGAAGTGCCTATATTAGCAAAATAGCATTCATGGGCTTTGTCTTTAGGCAATGGAGAGAGAGAGAGACCAGTCCTCAGAGTACTAACAGAAATACTGGTTCTGAACAGCTCTCTGAAAACGTCTGTTTTTTTCACTGACTATGCAAGAAAACTAAGCTACTCACTTGCAGCTGCAAATAATTCCCAGAGTGTAAAGCTTGATCATACAGCTTTGGTGTCCAGGCAAAACTAGAATTATTAAAACACATAAAGGCCCTCCACAGTGCACAGATGACTTCAGAGATCCTTTTCTGATTGATCTTCACATTGGTAAAAAGGCAAGCCCATAGCTCTCTGCTGTTGCAACCATCTATGGAGCTATGGAGCCAAGCCCCCTTCCCCTCTATCTGGGGACTGTGGGACATCCATCAGGAACAGCCCAGCACCCTCAGACTCTGGAGTTCAAACTTCATGGCCTAGAGCTTCAAACAGCAAGATACTGATCTGTTGACCACGAGTGGGATCAAAGTGACACAAAACCCAACGAAGCCCATGACAGCAACCCAAGCAACCCCCTTGCCAATGCTGCCTAGGGAGGCAGACGAGACAGAAAGAGAGGCTGTCCTACCTCGATGGCTACAGCACACAGCTGAAAGGAGGCAGAACTTTGCTTCCAGACCAAGCTCCCCACCACATAGACACGCACCTTTTACGTTAGGCCATAACTACGTGATAACATTAACAGAACCACGCAAAGGACAAGAATGACAGCTCTTCTCAGTTGATCCCCTGAAAGCCAAATTATGTCAAAGGTGCACATTTTTCAGCAATTGCTTTAGTTTAAATGACCATAATGTTGAGAAAAGGAAAATGCACAAAACGTAATTTTCTTATTTAAAAGAAAGCAAATATTTCACTGAATGTAAGAACAGGGCAGCAGAGAAGGGCTGTTCAGCTCATTACTCAAGAGAAAGTAGAGTCTCTTTTCCTTTCTAAAATATGTTTTTAATTGTGTTGCTAAGGCAACAAGTAACCAATATAGTATTAGCTCACAAGAGAGAGTTTGAAAAAAATGAGATGAGGTTTGTACTTATATTTACCCCTCCAAATGACAGTTTTAGTTGTTCTACGGAAATAGAAAATATCACTTGACATTAATTCATTTCTCACTACGCAGTGGATCATTTACTTGGAGCTGGATATAACAAGAAAAAAAAAATGGGTAGGGACAGATGAAAAAACAGAAGTGTCCTCAAATTCTCAAACTACTGGGTAGAAGATCCTTAGTATTGCCCTAAGTCATTGCAAAATGCATTAACACAATAAAAATGGAAACCTGCCATCTCTTAAACAAGAGAGGGTTAAACAAATTCAGGGTGTTGGTGATTAGTATCAAGAACAAAAAAAGGGGCAAGGCTCGTTAAATTATTCCTCACGCTATAGAGCATCCTGTTTGTATGGTGCCTTACACACTTCTGTTGGGTTTTGTGTTAGCACCCACCTGGGAGAGAGCCCATCGCAAGGTGGTTGGAAGAAGAAGGGGGAGTAAGACTGTCACAAGGTGCTTGCTCCTTTGGGATGACACACAGCATGTACGTCATCAGGAAGAGTTAACAGGGAGTGACAGTCCCTCACTTTGGTAAATTTACTCCTACTAATCAATGAATAAAATTATCATAATAATAAAGAGACGTCAGTAGCGCTGAACTGCAGCACACTCAGCTGCAACAGTTCTCATGGCAACTCTTCACCTGCTCTTGCACTCAAAAGCAGTAACAGTGTTTATTAGAGCTGTGAATTTGTTAATCAACGTTATCATCAATGAAAATTAGCCTGCAGTGCCTTTACTGTTTGTAGTAATTGCCATGTTTTTCCATCTTGAAATCACTCTACAAGCTGTTGTTAATTAACCAGTCCTTTTGAAGTACATAAGTAACATCAACATTTTATAATAGAAGAGGTGAGGCAGGCTCAGCAGTTGATGTGTCAGGCAGCTTGGGTAAGCAAGTTACAAAGAGTCCCAGCATCCTAGTGTCATGTCCAGATTACATCCTCTCTTTCAAAAAATCTAAATCTTAATAACAGTAATTTTTGTAGTAGACTCTAAAGCTCAAAAGAAAAAAAAATTAAATCAGAAAAGAACATTTTCCCTTTTAAAGTGGCTCTGCAGTAATTGAAATGCTACACAAACTGCTGTTTTTCCTGAGGAGCGGCTGCAGGCTTTGCCGCAAGTACCTTTTGCTGCTGCCATTTGCGATGATCCAGTGTAAGGCAAAGGACCTAAGGCTGGATATCTGCTTTCACTTTAAAAAAATGTTTCACTTCCTTGAAATTCTGGCTTGAAGAAGGTTTCCTATGCGGTCATCTCGGAAATGGTACCATTGAAAATACCGACAAACAGCACCACTTTACCTCTGCCTTGGGTGTTCTCCATGGTGCCATTTTGATGGGTAAGGAAACCACTACAAGTTCTCAGCTGAATTCCCACATTAGCCCTCTAATCACAGCAATGGGTAAAACATCCATCTGAGGCATAGGAACAGCTGGGGGACACATGTGAAAGGGAGGTATAAGCTCCACCAAAGCAAGTCAACACATCTAGATCAAAAAAATCAAGCACCTCTTTGTCATATGAACTGGTGGTAGATGTTGTTCTCTCAACCGCAATCTCTCAAAGTACAACAGAGTCAAACAGATCAGTTGACAGCAACAACTGATATCTAATGCGGCAGCTACACTGACATCTAATGAGGCCTTTCAAGTATTTTACACAGCTATGACTTCTTGCTCCCTCTCTCCTCGTCTCCGGCTCCCAAGTTATTTACTTGTCTTTGGCTCAGAGTTCTGAAGTGTAACATGAGATTCAATGCCTACACAATGAAGAATAGCTGATTTAAGATGTACAACGTGTGGCTGAGCAAAAGGTTTACCAATAGCCAGAAGTACATTTGGACAAATTAAGACTTGCTGGAGCAGAGCCAGATCAGCGTTGACATGGCTGCAGCCACACGGACTGGTAGTAAATGGAACACCTAGGTTAACATCTGGTGATCTGCAAAGGTAAGTTTTAGAAGACCCTATTGGTTGAACTAAGTAACACTCAACTGAAAGAAAATGAAACAGAAGATGAATGAGAATGTGTTCTCTTCTTTATCCTTCCTTTTATAGTATCCTTTGATGTTACAAGGAGGGTTACGATATAGTTTTGTTTGTCAATTTTTTTTACTTTGTTCAAGATCAAATAGGTTATATTTTATACACTTCAAATATGCAGCAAGGAACAATTAAGACTGTTGTCTGTGATAAAAAGCTCATTTTGTTTCTAAAGTGTCCATCAACTGTTATACCTGTTAGAAACATTTCTAGAGCAATTGAGTCACCTTGGGAGCTCCTGGTTGTTTAATGAAGCACAAAGCTAGAGAGAGGACGAAACACAACTAAGGTGCTGTGCTTTGTTCTGAGCCCAGCACATTGTTCATTTCTTTCATAAAGGACATTGTAAGCTCAGCACATTGGTACTTGCAGAGTCTTCATCCAATTGCCTTTCTTTTTAGCAGGAAAAAAAGATTGTTTTAGAACATGAAAGTACATTAATCCTGAAAGCATATAGAAGACTTTCCATCTGCACAGAAACCTTCTGAACTTCTTCCTAGATTTTCATAGTGGTAGTCTGTCTCTAGCAGGAGCCTAAATTCTCTCACACAGGAAAAAAAAAAAAAAAAAAAGAACTATAGTCACCTCACATCACTTTCAGCAGTTTCGGCAACATGATATTCAGGAAGGACTGATAACTAGTCCTCTATGTCAGCCTTGCAGGTTTGCTCTCTGACAGGGCATCTCAGTGAGTTAGAAGAAATTCATATTGCATCCTGTGCCAGGATCATCCATCTGCCCGACTGGTGTGGGCTGCTGGAGCACAAAGAGCTTATTCCTGATACAGACCAGGCCAGCTGCATCGCTACAACCGGTCCCCTTCTAGTATTTACAGCTCGGCAATTTTCCAGCCTTTGTAGGTTGGAAAGGTGTGTTAAACAGCTACAAAGATTGCTTCACATCAGGAGATGCTTAAAAAGCTTTCACAGAGTCTTAGGCAGACTTCCAAGCACTTCCAGGACTAGGGGATTTTGATCAAAATAAAGCCTACTATCTAGTACCTTTTGCTCAGTCATGTATAGCAACCTGCTCTAAGCTGCATAACCATGAAAGTAATGGCATTAAAAGTGCATTTTTTTCATTTTTCAGTGTTGATTTTGGAGGATGGATGATTTCAGTTGAACTACTGCCACTACATGCCTTGAGGTCATTGCAGGCTTGTCACAGAGAGCAGACCTATTCCATTTAATTGCCTCCTGTTATCCATTTGACCTATCAGATGAAAAGACTCTGAAACAAAGATTAGTAGTCTCCTATGGCTTACACATTATGCCTTGAGGTTGCTAAAGAAAGAGAGAGAACCTTTAACACTCACAGTTTTATAACCTCTGCATTTAGAAAAGGGTGGCTGTGAAACTCAAAGCAGATGTTGAGTATTTGAAGGAAGCTAGGAAGACTACGGGTAATCCTGGCCCCCAGTGAAGTCCTGGCAAAATTTCTGTTGATTTCAGAGGAATATAATTTCTAGCTTCATATTTAATTCTCCTGTGATGGCTTTGACGTGTTATAAGCTTCATCTGTGACGTGCACATTGACGCAGGTTCAACATCCACCCCACTACTGAGTATTGATCTAGCTGTCCCTGAAAGGTTTTCATATTCAAAAAATGCAGTGGTCTTTCCCTCTGTAACACAGTTAATCTCAAGGCAACCCACCCTGAGTATTTAGAAGGGAGAAATTTCAAACTACTAGGCATTTCTGGAAATTTAAACTATTCAAAATATACTTAGTGTAAAAAAAAAGTTTATAGTAAAGCAGGTCTAGAGAGAAAGGAATTTAAACTACGGGTTGGAATGCACTGGAATTCATCCTAAAAACACCTGTGAAGTTTCAGTGTTAAAAAGACAAAATGATGATAGTGCATCATTTTGAAATGTATGTGGTTTTTATTTTCCCTTTTAAAAACATCAGCAAATACAGCTTCAGTTTAGATTAATCATTTACCATGTTTTTTGCTACTCTGTTTTGGCAGGTGCACGGAAAACAGTATTTGCTTCTTCATTCCTAAAGCATTCTCACAGTTAAAGTTTGGTTTTTTTTTTTTCCCCAGTATTTTCCAGAAGGGCTGCTTCTTCTGTGTGCACCCTTCTAGAACTTAAATTTACAGATAAGCGATAAAATTGTGGAAAAAGCAACTCAGTTAAAATGCTGGCTGACTGTTACATGATTAGAGCCACAGCTACAATTCTGTGCTAGTAACAGGGTAGAATATAGAATAGTATAGGCCAAGTAATTACATTCATTTAGCTGCTTTACTTCTTTTCAGTCTCCTCACATTTTTTGTTATTATAGAAGTCCATTTTTGTTCTAGCTGAGATCCGACCCTGTTGTAAAACCAAGAAAATCCTCTCCCACATAGTTTATAATCAAATTAACTCAAAAGAATCAGATGCTGATTTTATTGGCCATTCTTGAGGCTCTCAGCAACTTCAGTAGCAGAAAGGTAATAGGCACAAAACTGATCACATCGGGTGTGCAGACATTTATAAGGGCCAGCTGACAAACAAAATGCATCCCCCTATAATGAAGCACATTCCTGTCACAGAGATGTTGAAGTATTAGAACAGAAAATAAACAATCTATAATTTTTGTCTTACATAGGTGGCTCCGTTGGACCTTGCTTCCGCCTGTCACCTCATCACCCTTCCCACTGACTGCAGAGTAACGCAGAGATGCTGGGGACAGGCAGGGCAGATTTGCTAGGCAGGGAGAGAGGAAAGCTGGTGCGGGGTTAGCAGCAGACAGTAAACATATCATACAGTGAGAGCACAGTCATACAGCTGGACTATCTTGGCTCTCCCTCCCACCCAATTTCATTAGGGTCATGCCTGTCCCAAGACCTTCTGTGTGATCAACGCCGGTGGCCAGCTCTGCAGGTGATCAAGTGAGCATGCGAGGCTGGTAGACACTCATAAAGTCTCTGCACTAGTGACACTAAAAGAAATGCAGAAGGTAGGCGTACAGCTAAAGTATTACTTTAAAAAGGATCAGCGATCTGGATGGGTAGAGAAAACTGCTATGTGTGGCACAGGCTAGGCCCTGGAAGTGATGAAGCAAGACAAATGTTTGTGTGGAAAGACAGACTAGCCTGGATTTCTTAGGGAACAGGAAAATCAGGGAGGTAAGGCTATAAGCATTTCCACTAGTTTCCTGGGCAAAACATGTCAAAGAGAGTATTTGTTGTGCATACATCAGGATGCCTTTCCTGTGCCCTAAACTGAGACTGCGCAACTCTGCTCACATTGTGGACCTTAGTCCTCTCCACCTCTCAGCTGAGAGTAGTTCCAGGAGGCAGCCAAGCCCAGTTCCCAGCCCACTTGTGATGGGATACCAGGTATGAACACCTGAAATGTCTTTGCCAGTCATTTTCCAACCTCAGAGATCTTCTAGGTTTGGGTTGTCTGCAGGAAGATTGCATTCACAGTTCACTGCAACAGCTGCAGCTTTTGCTGACCTGAGCAGTAAATGCCAGGAGCCTTCCTTAGTCATTCAATAGCCATAGCAGAACCTCCTCGTGGCCCAAGTCCCATACAGTGAGCAGACATCAGGCACCTGATTAAAAACTGGGCCAAATGCCCTGCAAAAGCAGGAGGGAAACCAGTTTTCTCAGACTGAGCAGCAAGCACTTATCAGTGTCTTCCATGTTGAATTTTAAGATCCATTACCATTCTTATGCCTCATCACAAACCCACTGCCACAGATGCCCATCCTCCAGCAAACTCTCTTACTCAATACAATTTATGCACAAATATCACATATTTTTTACCTTTGTGCTCCTCTAAACTCTTCTTCCAGTCTGATTTTCCTAACTTTTTTCCTCTTCCCAGCATCTCTCCTGTCTCCTAAAAAGCAGTCATCACTGGTATGTGCGTAATTTTTCCCTCCACACAGATAGAATCGATCTGAATTTTCAGACTGACAAAAAATTTTCCATTAGAGACAAAGCAAAGAAACAAGCACTGACCTGTATTTTCTACAACTCATCTTCTTTCCTATATTCATACAACAGAGGTATGAGAAGGGGCATGCTCTCTTATATACAAACCCTAGCAGCTTAAGAGTTGCACAACAGCAAGTAGAATAACCTTTTTTTTTAAAATAACCTTCACCCTTGTACCCACTGCTTATCAATGCCAACACTGTCATACTCAGAGTAAATCCAGTAATCCCATCCTCTCAGCCTTGCTGCCTGATACTCCTTTCTACGACTTACTGTGTCTTTAATTAGATCACATAATTCTTAGAACAGCAACTTCGTGTTTTCACTTTTACAGGAAATTG